ATTTCGAGCCGAACACGAACACAAATATTTAAATCGAGTCGAACACGAACACACTGTTCACGAGCCGATTTCGAACACGAGCTATTTCAAACAAGCCGAACACCATCCAAGCCTGAGCTCGCTCAAGCTCAGCTTGTTTACAGCCCTACATACATGGCCTTTGAAACATTGCTATTTATACAACTACACGCCCATGCATTTTTAGTTTTGAACTATCAAACTGATGCATTTAAGAGTGTCATAATCAAATTATTGAGAATTTCATAAAAATGAAAAAAAAAAAAAAAGGTTGAGATTCTATTGTGAATATTGATATTTGAACGAGAAATTGAAAAGTAAATCAACGAATGTGCTAGAATTATAAGTATCAATGTTTTGAATGCTATTTATGTAATCAATTGTTTTTTCAAACTCCTCACATCATCCATCAACTGCGTCGAATAATAACAAGATGAGGCCAAGAAAGCAGCAGTTTCATTAAAAAAAAAAAAAGAATAAAAACATAGATGAAAAGGATAAATGAGATCATTACAGTGCACAAATATTTAGACATAAAAAGGCAATTTAATGTCATTTTATGATGTTAGCTCAGAGGAAGGTTCGGCCGAAGGAATAGGTTCCGAATTTTTTTCTGAATTTTCTGTGGAATCATCTACAGTTTTCTCTTCCTTCATATCTGCATCTTTGCTTGTAAATTCTTCATCAGCCTCTGCATCAACCATTTCTTCATCCACATCATTGCTTGCATTACCAACTCCATTAGAGTTTTCATTTGGGTCTAGTGGTTCTTCTGGGATTACTTTATTAGGTTCAGTTGGCCTTTTGGCTGGAGCTTCAGGGTATGGATCATTGCATCTGGTGAGGGTAGAGGTCACTAGTAAATTCTGCACCAATAATAAATAAATGTATCATAAGGGTATTTGTGCAATGATACGTTCAAAACAAATGGTCATTCTGCAAGCCCATTGTAGTAGATGAGTAAAAAGCATTGTGGTTAACATTCATAATTGTAAATTATGCCTGTAGAAAAGCAAGCCTTACAAACAGATAAGCTTGCCTATAATTTGAAATTTCATAGTTGAGTTGAATATCCAAAAGAATAAGAACTTGCATGGAAAAATTTTAAGGGCATTTACATAAATACTACGCAATTTTTATCTATTTACATATCTCATATCTAAACATGGCTTTTTACCATTACATCAACCAAATCTTTTATAGTGCATAAAAATTACCACTATTTTAACTTCCAAAAAAAAAAAAAAGAAATATACCGTTTCATGTATGGGCAAGGTGGCATATTTGTAACAATTGAAGTTTAGGTATTAGAAATGTAAATATATGAAAATTGAGTGGTATGTATGTAAATCTTCCAAAATGTAACAATTGAAGTTTAGGTATTGGAAATGTAAATATATGAAAATTGAATGGTATGTATGTAAATCTTCCAAAATTCTACTCAAAAACAAATATCTTTCTTTTTCATTATATATATATATATAGATCCTTATTTATTAGGCGCATTTACAAACACACCAAACAATACTTTGTGTTTACAAATGTACCATCTAAACATTCATATTTAGATGCATGACACTTGAATCTTTAGCCCCACAAAAAATATCAACAATGCTGCCTTTTTAAAAGTGACACATCTTTTATCTATAGGTTTATGACACAAAGGTGTGATAAATGTAAATATCAAATTTTGGGAGTTAGACATGTAAATACATAAGAATTGTGTGGTATTCACATAGATTTCCCAATTTATAATTCGGAATTTTACATACTTAGCACCCAATTCTTATGCATTTACCTATCTCACACCCAAACTCTCATTTTTACAAAATCAACACCCTACCTATAAATGAAAATGTGTATTTCACTGTTGGAGAGTGGTGAAAAGGATAAGTTGACTGCCTGAGTTGTAAAAAAGAGAGTTTGGGTGTGAGATAGGTAAATGCATAAGAATTGGGTGCTGTGTATGTAAATTCCCCTTTATAACTAGCACATAAAAACAAAACAAAATCTCAAGAAGCAATCATCTAAAAGAACTGAATGAATCATTGAAACATACTGACTTTAGCTACAGTGCTACCGAAAATTCTCAGATGAGTCGGAACGATCACAAATCCTGCCAAACCAAAGCCATAGAATCGGACAGTCCAACTACAATTTCGATAGAAATTCCTTAGTCTAAATCGAGCTGAGCTTTACTATATTAGCCCCAAGAAAGAACCACTAAAAGAGCTATAGATAAAAGAGTAACCAAATCAAATCTCCCCGATTTAAAAATTTTGACTCTGATGAAGTATTCAATTGATTTCATTTTAAGAATGTTATGCATGATTGCTAAATTTCTATATAGGCATCTCATGTAGGACTATTTCTACCTTTGATATCCAACATTATAATTTCATCACCAATAATAATTTCAAGAACAGAACATGATACAACCAATTGGAAAATATACACATGATGCATTGGATGTGAAACTCTGTATAAGAGTTTAGTAGATGGTTCATGATATGAAGTCAAGTTAAACACGATAAAAATTGGGCAATAAATGTCTATGATTTCCCACTCGTACGCATTGCTCTCCATTCTTTATACAACTTTATATCGTCTTATTTTTGTAGAACTTAATTTCTTAAATGCTACAGAGAAAATTTTTCTATATTTAGATGAACTATGACATCATAATGAATATCTTCATACTAGTCGCACACAAGTAATAAGTAATGCATTAGGATATGATCAAGGGGTGATGATCAAATTCTTGTATGCTCTATAGTTTATCACAATGATACACTATAGATAATCTGAGAAGTAGAAGATGATAGAGGAAAATAAAATGAATGTTTATAAGATTTACAAGTGCATGTTATAATACGCAGCAAATAATATATGTATTATGTATGCAGTGATTCAAATAAGATGTGAATAATAAATGGTTAGACAATCTCTTTGGCAAAATTAATTCAAATATTTAAAAAGTTTAAACATAATGAAGTATGTACTTCTCGACTCAAACAGGTATATTGAATATTTATTTGTGAACATTACATTGATCGTTTATTCGCATGCCCAATTGTTTTCTAATTATATGTAATATGGATAGTAACAGATAGCCATATTCAGGAACCCGAACTTCTGCTCATAATTAAATTCATCTGGATTAAACATACTTGCAAAGAGTGCATGGTAAGGCTACATAATTGGCTTATATAAATAATCATTCTTATCTTTAATTAGCGGTTTAGAATAATCCAGCGCAAGTGTTGCCCTCAATTCAGGATGGCCTATAAGTACAGGTCTAATGATATTGGATCAAGGACAAGGTAGCCAATCGTGGCGACTCACCAAGATCTATGTTTAAAATTGATCAATAAGAGGAATGCACCATCACAATTCTGAAAAAATTGCCGTGAGGTGTACATCACATCTTGGTATTGATAACATATATGCCTTAAAAAGCTGATATTCAACTCAAGGAGTACCCACGCAATAAATAAAATGCACAAGCCTCAAACGTTGAGTCAGAGAAATTTAGAAGATTGAAAAGGCACAAGCTTCCATGAGGCATATACCTCACTCTTGTTCAACACTCCAGGATTGCACGCAGCACCTACACTAACAGCAAGTTGTCATTATTGCACCGCCACCATTGCTTCTCCCAATCGTGCTCCTTCACTCCCTCTCCTATTCTTGTTGATAACTCATCCACATTTTTTTTGCTTTTTTTTTGTTTTTTTATCATTTGCATTTCATATACTCTTCGTTGGATGAAAATTTTTAGTTTAAATATATCCTAATATGGATGGAGGCTCTAAGAAAAGTTTAATGGAAAATAAAAAAGATCCAACATGAAATTATAACAAGTCATGCCGGAGTTTAACCAAACAATAACAGGGAGACAACATTATTGCAGAATTTAGCTAGGTAATTACAACCAAACAAACGGAAATAGGAGACACAGCAGTCGGCTAGGACGGATCTAGAGAGGGTGGTAGTGGTTGTTAGGGGGGCTGTATGTTATTTTGATATCCTTTATGTTAGTATAAATAAGAAAAGTTAAGTGATTTTCAAAGAGAAATTTCATTTACATAACATTTAATTATTATTAAATTATAAGTCGGAATTTAAGAGAGAAGAGTATTCAGCTTGAAGAGTATTTGATTCAAAAGTTTACTTCAAAAAATAATTAAATTTACGAATAACATGTTAGAGAGATGTTTTGGAAAAAAAAAATCCTTATATATGCACTTTTAATTGATACAAGTGATGGTAAGAGAAAATAAAGTAGAAGATTATTTGTAAAGAAGTCTTTGGAAGGTCGAGAAGAGTACTATATTTATAAATTTCAGTAAAAATTATTATTTCCAAATGTATGTTTGATTTTATTTATGTTCTAGAAAAATATGTATTTAATAGTTGCAAAATGAGTAATCTATAAAAATATTAGATTATTGAATGACATTTGAATTATAGTAGATGTGCGTATATAGATTATTACATGACAGATTTCAGTATATGAGTAGTACATCAGTTTATTGCATGATATATAGATTCCAGTATATATGCAGATTCTTATATGACATATAAATTCCAATATATGTGCAGAACATCAGTTTATTATCCATCTTTAGTATTCATATATAGATTTAGTAAGATAGCTTTGTTCATTAGTAGATAGAGGCAAGATGTTAATAAGAAAAGAATGCATGATATGAAGAATGAAGTAATGTATATATGAATACTTATATGTGCATGCTAAGAGGAATTCACCCCCCTTGTGGTACAGGCAAGTGAAGCCAATCTACCCATATGCGTAGATGTTATCCTAACACCCAAAAAAAATTGTGATATTTAGATCTCAAATTGTTGAGCCAGCGGAAAAATAATGGTCAAGGTCGATTAAGCATCTTTCTACCTCAAACAATTGTGCAAATTAGATCACAAACGGCTATACCGAATGGAAAATAGTAGTTAAGAGTGTGTTAGATTATGTTTTGACGGAGCACCTAAAACATATATGTATGTTAAGAGTATAAAATAAAAGTAAGGTTAAAAACTAAACTTTGAAAAGTAAAATTAAAATAAATGCTTACAAAAGTTTAAGATATGCCCATAAAAGTAAACCTCATGAACATATACATTAGAGTAATGTATGATTTTTTTTAAATGAAATATAAAAGATTTTAAAAAATCAATATGCTTATTATTATTATTATTATTATTATTTTGGGTTATAATTTAGAAATGTGATTGATTCTGGGTTATCTTAGATAACTCATTATGTTATGTTAATATTTTTTCAGGTTTAAGTTTTTAAATAAGATAAATACTAGAGGACCAAACGTATACAGAAGAAGAAGTTGACAACTAGAAAGCTAACTTTTATTTATTAATTAAAACGATTATTTAAGTGGCTTTTTCAATTATTTTTTACTAAATGAAAATATGACACTAAATAAGACGCAATCGAGAATGATCTTAATAAACTGTTAGTTCTAGTAAATTAAAAATGATCTTAATTTACTAGAACTAAATGAAAATATGACACTAAATAGGACGCAATGGAAAAAAAGGATTCATGTAGCTCATAAAAGGATTCATGTAGCCGACCCCACGTAGTGGGATTAAGGCTTTGTTGTTGTTGTATTAAACTGTTAGTGATATGATTATAAATATAACAAAACTTAATTCCACCGTCTGACAGTCTGTTCCGGCTTGGTTAATTCTAAATCCCGGGTCGGGTCATGACAAAAGTAATATCAAAGACATGTTTAAATTAACCAACAAGAATCTTAAAAAAAATAACAAATATGGTGATCGAATAAAGTTATAAAAAATAACGATTAAATTTTGAATTGAGTTTCCTAAAATATTTTGTTGTTATTTCAGAATACTGGTTGATCAGGAGGAAGAGGTCAGGAATGATAAAGTTAAATTTGATATACCCCATAATGTCAAAATCAATGTTGATGCATTTTCTAATATGATGAATGTTATGAATCAGGCACAAAAAACAAATATTTTCATGCAATGCTAATATTATCAGAGAGAAGTACTTCCTGTAAGAGTTTGAATGATGAGATTGAATGATTATCTTGTAAAGAGAGAGAGGACTTGATTGAACAGACCTTCTCCAGTGCCAAAGCAAGCTTGGAAAGACTGCGATATGTGCTTTTAGGATTCAGAAGAATCTGTTAAAACATACTCAATGTAAGCTCTAAGCCTGTAATTCACCAACCAAAGTACATGTAAAAAATACGATCAGGTTTAACATCTTAGGAACAACTAGCGTAATCAGGATTAGAAAAGTTTTGCAAATTTTCATATCAGTACCAATAAACACATTGAATGTTGATCACAAAGGTGAAGAGTAAACTACCTCACAAAGACGCTGCAATGTGAATGGAGGGCCTTCTATAAAGCCTAAAAGAGCTGCAAGTATGGGTCATTTAAAATATATTATTATGGAGCTCAAACAACATATCGGGATAAAATCATAAAAACAATTAAAACACCGTGTTTTATGAAATGTGAATGTAACAACGGTAACAAGCAAGTTGCCAAATAGAATATAAAAATTTATTAGACAGAACAGCAAGTACCACAAAAGAGAAGCTTCATCTAAATCTTAGAAGAAAAATAAAGCACATGAGCTAGTGCAGAAACATGTCAGCAAAGAGACATCTATTTAAACTATATCCGAGTTATATTGGGCATGATTTGCAGCAATAGAGTAGCTAAACCAAATGAGAAACATGGCACAGTAAAGACTAAATACATCAGGATTAGTTGATTAGTACTAAATACTAATCATCATAAACATTACACCTTTTCCATCTCCTTGGGGCTGTTTTGATGAGTCCCTCCAAAGTGTAAAATAAGAGCTTTTAACTACAATTTGATTTATTTTTTTCACTTTATCATTATTACCATAGTATACCCTCTTTCTTCTAATTTTTTGACACTAATTCTACTTCATCAATCATATTGGTGAATCTTTTGAAGTATATGATAGGTTCATGAAATAGATATACCATTTATGTCTATATGATGACTGACGCTCTCGTTGTCTCTTTGACAAAATCATTGCTAAATACATCCTTCCTGACTTTATCATGTGCCTCTTTTCATGTTCTAATTTATGCCACACCTAACGTGGAATTATGCTCATTATTATTTACGTTATTCTATTTAGTACTTGCTATATTTTGTCATGGTATAAAAATGGCAATTCCTTAATTATAGGTATTTATGTTATTCCATAATTATAGGAATTACTTAATTGTAGGAAGATTTCTTTCCTCCTTTTATCTCTTGTACTCGCCTATTTATAGGTGATTTATCTATGTATTCAGGAAGGAAAAAGGTTATTCTAAATTCACATGGTATCAGAGCCATCAAAGAAAACCTCTCCCGCTCGGCTCGATCACGGCCTTCTCCCGCGATCTCCTTGACCGAGAGCTGCCCTGATTTATCGTCCGCATCCGAGCGCCGCTCCTTCCGATCACGCATCTCTCCGATCGTCCGCGTCGGCTTTCGCGGTCCTCTGCGGCCCCCTCCTCCCCTCGTCTTCCACGTCATCGGCTTCCGCGATCACGCTTCTCCCGCGTCGTCCGCTTCCGCACGCGTCTCACGCGATCTCCTGCGCCGACCCGAGCACAACCAGTTCCCGCTCCCACGATTCCCCGATCTCCCGCGACGAACACAGTCTGTTCCTGTGGTGCTCAATGACAAAGTACGCCCATGCCTGCAATTCCTCCTCCACTAGTGATGTCACTTCTAGCCCCCCCTCCACAGCTAGGTAGCTAGGTCTCCATTGCCCAGCAATTCAGGCAGTAATTCTGTCCTCATCACTAGCCACAAACTCACCGGCCTGAATTACCTCCAATGGTCGCAGTCAGTCATGATGTTTGTATGCGGCAAAGGCAAAGATGACTACCTCACTGGTGATGCTCCAGCTCCGATGTTAGGTTGATAAATAAATGGAGAGAGGAGCGAGAGAGAATAAAGTGAGAGAAGTATTACTTTTCGATTAAGTAATTAAGTAAATAAACCCCCAATTTTAATTTTTTAGAAAGGACTTTTCTTTATGATATTTACGACCTTAGAGCATATATTAACTCATATCTCCTTTTCGATCATTTCAATTGTGATTTTAATTCATTTCTGAAACCATTCTTCATGACTTTCGTCAAGGTGATCTCTCCGTCACCCAATACTTCAATACTCTTACTCGGTATTGGCAACAACTAGATCTATTCGAGGTGTACCCTTGGAAGTGTCCCGAAGACTCTGTCATATTTCGCCAAATCATAGAACAGAAACGCACCTTCAAATTTCTTCTCGGCCTCAAATCTGATTTTGACCAGACTCGCTCACGGATTTTGAATTCGAAACCTTTTCTAACAATTCGTGAAGCTTTCTCGATATACGCCGCGAAGAGAGTCGCCAAAAGGTTGCCAAAATATCATGTTAGGTGCTTCCTTGTCCACTACAGCCCTCGACGGGTCGGCACTTGCTGCTCATATTTGCTCATATTCCATCCACAGAAAACCGCTAACGCCAGGGCCGCCCTTGGTGTGACCACTGCCGCCGTTCTGACCATACTCGGGATACGTGTTGGCAGATTCATGGCAAACCCGCCAATGGGAAACCCAAACGGGATCATCGGGAAGCTGCCACCAACACCACTGAAGGCTCTCCAAGAACGAGCCCATTCAGCGAAGAACAGATTCATGCCCTCCAAAAGATGCTTGGTCAGTTGTCACCTATCGACCTTGTTACCTATCAAGGTATTTCCCCATCCGCAATCCGCGTTCATCTTGGATTCAACTTCTTATCGCCCTTGGATTGTTGACTCAGGTGCCTCTGATCATATGACCGGGGATGTCTCCTTATTAATGGATTACCGGTCGTGTAATCTGACCCTCACTGTTCGGATTGCTGATGGATCGCTTCCAAAGTTGCTGGCCTTGGTTCTGTCCTCATCTCTCCAGATTTATTCCTCACTTCTGTGTTTCATGTTCCTACTATGTTCCTAATTTGGATTGCAATCTGATCTCTATTAGTAAGCTCACTTATGACAATTTCAAGATTTGAAATCGGGGAGGATGATTGGCAGTGTTGAGTTGCGCAGGGGGCTCTATCTCCTCCAGAAAACCAACCCCTCTGTCAGTCTAGTCTCACCCACCGGGAGTATTCGAGTAACAAGTCTGTCTTGCTTAAATCCGCTTAGTACATCTGTATTCCATTCTAGCGTTAATAATGATAGTAAAATCATGTTACTTCATTATCTTTTAGGTCATCCCAACTTTATGTACCTGGGGAAATTGTTTCCTCGTTTATTTATTAATAAAAGTCTTACCTCTTTTAATTATGAATTGTGTCAACTTGTCAAACACACTCGTACTTCATTTCCTCGATTATCATACAAATCCACTCGTCTTTTTTCTCTGATCCATAGTGACGTCTGAGGTTCTTCTCGTGAGAAAAATATTTCTCAGGCCGAATGGTTCGTGTCCTTTATTGATGATCACACACTGGTGACATAGATCTATCTTATGCGTAACAAATCCGAGGTAGGACCAATATTTCGTGCATTCTATCAAATGATACTCACTCAATTTGACACAAAAATCCAGACTCTCAAAATAGATAATGCATGAGATTTTTTCAACACCTCCTTAGGAACTTTTCTTACTCAACATGACATCCTTCATCTTAGCACGTGTGTTGATACTCTCCAACAAAATGGGGTTGCTGAGCGGAAAAATCGTCACTTGTTGGAGGTAGCCCGCTGTCTCATGTTTACCAGATCGGTTCCTAAATGTTATTGGGGCAAGGCAACATTGACCGCTGCCTACATCATAAATCGGATGCCCTCCCGTATTTTGGGTTTTCGTAATCCAATTGATGTCCTCCTTCGCTCCTTTCCAAATACCTGTACACTCTCTTCAGATGTCCCTACAAAACTATTTGGTTGCTCCGTCTTTGTTCATATTCACAAACAACACCGCAGTAAATTAGACCCCAAATCTGTCAAATGCATATTCATAGGGTATTCGACCAACAAGAAAG